TATTAATTATATATAATAATTGAGAATTAACTATATCGCGGAAAAGTAGTTTGGCCTTTCCAGCGAATTGTTCTTTGTATATTCCTGGTTTGTATTTTTTCCACGTTCTTTACCTTCACAAGTGTAACGTCTCCCCCCGCCTTCTCACTTCAATTACAACCGTTCCGAAAGCAACTTGTCTATTCAAAAACCCAACTAAACTTCTACAAGTCCTCTTCGCCCGCACATTCCTAAAGTCGTCCTCCCTCAAGCTCTCGAACCCCCCAAGGGTTTCCACGCCTGACGCCTCCCTACTTACAGCCTTACCCTCTCGTCCGGCCTCAGACTCCTAGCTTCCGCCACGCCCTGCCCTACATTCCCACCTCTCCTCTAGACAACTCCATACCACAACATTTAAAGGCGGGGTAGGTACGTTTGAGAAACCGGCTCGAGATACACTTTTTGTTATATTCCATGGAATGCTCTTAACATCCCGATAGCAATGAATATCTTAAGTGCTTTGACAAAAAATCCATAAAAAAACGTCATCTACCAATCATTTTAGCTGGCCCGGCTAAAATAACTGGATGGCCTACTTATCTGTGCACAAACTTATCTCGTGCCCTCATTGGTCATGTGCGCGTTCGTGTGTGTTGGAGGAGGGGCTCTGTAAGGAAGTGGCAGATTTTTTCCGGTTGTGTATTTTCAAATTCTAGCGCACTCAAACTGGTTTCTCCAAAATTGGCCACACTAATTTATTAATAATTAGAATACAATTACATATATTATATTATCTAAAATTGACATTCGAGTTTTACCTTTATGAGGCTACTTATATTTGTATTTTAAAATATTCCCAATACGTTGTTTTTTTACAAGCACCAATGTTTTTCTACAAATCATTTTTTACTACCTTTACTTCCATTAAATATCTGAATACTTTTCATCAGTGCAGTTAAATACATTTATTCCCAAAAACACAATTTATGATGCTTTATTATGCTCACGTTTATGGAAAGGGGAATTAAACACAGAGTGAGACCTCCCTCATAATATGTCCTCTCCGACGTCATCCATTCCTATTCCTTAATTTTATTTTCGTCACGCATGCGCATGAGGGGCAATCAGGAGGGTTTGTTCCATTAAGCTGATTTACCCTTATCGATACAGATCATGTAACCCGTGTAAACTGACACCATATCCGCTGGGAA